ATAACCCCATATCCTACACCCCACACCCCATAACCCCATATCCTACACCCCACACCCCACACCCCATACCCCACACCCCACACCCCATACACCATATCCCATACCCCACACCCCACACCCCATATCCCATACCCCACACCCCATACACCATATCCCATACCCCACACCCCATAACCCCACACCCCACCCCCCATAACCCCATATCCACACCCCACACCCCATATCCCATACCCCACACCCCATACCCCATACATCCTATACCCCATACATCCCATGCCCCACACCCCATATCCCACACCCCATATCCCATAATAACCCCAATAACCATAACCCCACACCCCATAATAACCCCATACCCCATAACCCCATATCCCACACCCCACACCCCCCACCCCCCACCCCCCACACCCCCACACTCACCCCCCACACCCCACACCCCACACCCCACACCCCACCCTCCACCCCATAGCCATGCTCTCACATGGAGGTGATGTGGGGCAGGACGTTCACACAAGCCGCCAGCTTCTGCTCCACCATGGCCCTGGGGGGGACAGCGTCACCTCGTGACCCCCCCCGGTGACCCCGTGACCCCCCCCGTGACCCCGTGACCCCCCCCGTGACCCCGTGACCCCCCCGTGACCTCACCTGGCCAGCTCCTTGGCCACCGTCTCATTGGGGCAGGTGACGAAGGCGGCCGAGACGGTGCCGGGGTCGTAGGGGTCACCGGGGGGGTCACCGGGGGGGTCACGGGGGGTGGAGGCCATGGAGAGCAGGCGCCGGCCCAGCCCCTGCAGGGTCACCGTCAGCGTCACCAGTGCCAGCGCCTGTCGCGATAGAGATGCTGCGTCGCGATAGAGATGCTGTGTCGCGATAGAGATGCTGCGTCGCGATAGAGATGCTGCGTCGCGATAGAGATGCTGCGTCGCGATAGAGATGCTATGTCGCGACAGAGATGCTGTGTCACGATAGAGATGCTGTGTCGCGACAGAGATGCTGTGTCGCGATAGAGATGCTATGTCGCGACAGAGATGCTGCGTCGCGATAGAGATGCTGCGTCGCGATAGAGATGCTGCGTCGCGATAGAGATGCTGTGTCGCGATAGAGATGCTATGTCGCGACAGAGATGCTGCGTCGCGATAGAGATGCTGCGTTGCGACAGAGATGCTGTGTCGCGACAGAGATGCTGCGTCGCGATAGAGATGCTGCGTCGCGATAGAGATGCTGCGTCGCAACAGAGATGCTGTGTCGCGATAGAGATGCTGTCGCGATAGAGATGCTGTGTCGCGATAGAGATGCTGCGTCGTGATAGAGATGCTATGTCGCGACAGAGATGCTGCGTCGCGATAGAGATGCTGTGTTGCGATAGAGATGCTGTGTTGCGATAGAGATGCTGCGTCGCGATAGAGATGCTGCGTCGCGATAGAGATGCTATGTCACAATAGAGATGTGGTGCGACAGAGATGCTGCGTCGCGATAGAGATGCTGCGTCGCGATAGAGATGCTGCGTCGCGATAGAGATGCTGCGTCGCGATAGAGATGCTGCGTCGCGATAGAGATGTGGTGCGATAGAGATGCTATGTCGCGATAGAGATGCTGTGTCGCGATAGAGATGTGGTGCGATATAGATGCTATGTCGCAATACAGATGCTATGTCGCGATAGAGATGCTGTGTCGCCATAGAGATGTGGTGCGATATAGATGCTATGTCGCGACAGAGATGCTGTGTTGAGCTATAGATGCTATGTCATGATAGAGATGCTATGTCGCAGTAGAGATGTGGTGGGATATAGATGCTATGTCGCAATACAGATGCTATGTCGTGATAGAGATGCTGTGTCACGATAGAGATGCTGTGTCACAATAAAGATGCCATGGTGTGATATAGATGCTATGTCACAATAGAGATGCTGTGTCACGACAGATGCCATGGTTCAGTACAGATGCTATCTCACGATAGCACCATGTCTGTCACAATAGAGATGCTGTGTCACAATAGAGATGCTATGGCCGTGTCTGTCACGATAGAGATGCTATGTCCGTGTGTGTCGTGATAGAGACGTTATGTCCATGTCTGTTGCAACAGAGATTTTGTGTCACGATAGAGGTGCTATGTCCGTGTCTGTCACGATAGAGATGCTGCGTCATGATAGAGAAGCTATGTCCGTGTCTGTCACGATAGAGATGCTGTGTCGCAATAGAGATACCATGTTGTGATAGAGATGCTACGTCATGATAGAGATGCTGTGTCACAACAGCACCATGTCTGTCACAATAGAGACGCTGTGTTGTGATAGAAATGCTATGTCATGATAGCACCATGTCTGTCATGATATAGATGCTATGTCGTGATAGCACATCTGTCACGATACAGATGCTATATCACGATAGAGATGCTATGTCACGATAGAGGTGCTATGTCATGATAGCACCATCCCTGTCGCAATATAGATGCCATGGCACGATAGTCTGTGTCACGATAGCCCCATGTCACGATACCCCCCCCCGCCCCGTCATTACAGCCCGGCCATGGGGCAGGGAACTCACCCCCAAAACCAACTTCATGTGAGGCAGAGCCGGCGCTGTCCCGTCCTGTGGGGAGAGATGGCCAGTGAGCCCCACGGCTGCCCCACAGCCCCCCCTGCCCCATACAGAACCTCTCAGCCCCCTATAGAGAGCCCCTCCAGCCCCACATACCGCATCCAGCCCCATATCCAGCCCCATATACAGCATCCAGCCCCATATCCAGCCCCATATACAGCATCCAGCCCCATATCCAGCCCCATATACAGCATCCAGCCCCATATCCAGCCCCATAGACAGCATCCAGCCCCATATCCAGCCCCATATACAGCATCCAGCCCCATATCCAGCCCCACATACCGCATCCAGCCCCATATACAGCCCCATATACAGCATCCAGCCCCATATCCAGCCCCATATACAGCATCCAGCCCCATATACAGCCCCATATACAGCATCCAGCCCCATATACAGCCCCATAGACAGCCCCATATCCAGCATCCAGCCCCATATCCAGCCCCATATACAGCATCCAGCCCCATATACAGCCCCATATACAGCATCCAGCCCCATATCCAGCCCCATATCCAGCATCCAGCCCCATATCCAGCATCCAGCCCCATATCCAGCATCCAGCCCCATATCCAGCCCCATATCCAGCATCCAGCCCCATATCCAGCATCCAGCCCCATATCCAGCCCCATATACAGCATCCAGCCCCATATACAGCCCCATATACAGCATCCAGCCCCATATCCAGCCCCATATACAGCATCCAGCCCCATATCCAGCCCCATATCCAGCATCCAGCCCCATATCCAGCCCCATATACAGCATCCAGCCCCATATCCAGCCCCATATACAGCATCCAGCCCCATATCCAGCCCCATATACAGCATCCAGCCCCATATACAGCCCCATATACAGCATACAGCCCCATATCCAGCCCCATATACAGCATCCAGCCCCATATACAGCCCCATATACAGCCCCATATACAGCATCCAGCCCCATATCCAGCCCCATAGACAGCATACAGCCCCATATCCAGCCCCATATACAGCATCCAGCCCCATATCCAGCCCCATATCCAGCATCCAGCCCCATATACAGCATCCAGCCCCATATCCAGCCCCATATCCAGCCCCATATACAGCCCCATATACAGCATCCAGCCCCATATCCAGCATCCAGCCCCATATCCAGCATCCAGCCCCATATACAGCATCCAGCCCCATATACAGCCCCATATACAGCATCCAGCCCCATATCCAGCCCCATATACAGCATCCAGCCCCATATCCAGCCCCCAGCCCCATATCCAGCCCCATATACAGCATCCAGCCCCATATCCAGCCCCATATCCAGCATCCAGCCCCATATCCAGCCCCATATCCAGCCCCATATCCAGCCCCATATCCAGCCCCATATCCAGCCCCATATCCAGCATCCAGCCCCATATCCAGCATCCAGCCCCATATCCAGCATCCAGCCCCATATCCAGCCCCATATCCAGCCCCATATACAGCATCCAGCCCCATATACCCCTTACAGCCCCACATACACCCCCAGCCCCATATAGGGACCCCCCCAGCCCCACATCCAGACCCCTCCCCCCCCCCAAAACTCCTCTCCCCCCTCCCCCGCCCGTACCCGCCGCCGCACGCGCCGCTCGGCGGCCGCCCCCACGTGACCCGGCTGGCCCCGCCCCCCCGCCCCTCCCGCCCAGCCACCGCCCCTCCCGCCCAGCCACCGCCGCGCGCGTCACCGACAGGCTCCGCCCCTTCCCTGTGACGTCATCGGAAGGGGGCGTGGTCGAAGTTGGGGGGGGGCGGTGAATGGGGACGCTGGGAGCCAATGGTGATACTGGTGTTATACTGGTGTTGTACTGGTGTTATACTGGTGCTGTACTGGTGTTATACTGGTGTTATACTGGTGTTGTACTGGTGTTATACTGGTGTTATACTGGTGTTATACTGGTGTTATACTGGTGTTATACTGGTGTTGTACTGGTGTTATACTGGTGTGATACTGGTGTTGTACTGGTGTTGTACTGGTGTTATACTGGTGTTATACTGGTGTTATACTGGTGTTATACTGGTGTTGTACTGGTGTTATACTGGTGTGATACTGGTGTTATACTGGTGTTATACTGGTGTTATACTGGTGTTATACTGGTGTTGTACTGGTGTTGTACTGGTGTGATACTGGTGTTGTATTGGTGCGATACTGGTGTTATACTGGTGTTATACTGGTGTTATACTGGTGTGATACTGGTGCGATACTGGTGTTATACTGGTGTTATACTGGTGTTGTACTGGTGCTATACTGGTGTTGTACTGGTGTTATACTGGTGTTGTACTGGTGTTATACTGGTGTTATACTGGTGCGATACTGGTGTTATACTGGTGTTGTACTGGTGCGATACTGGTGTGATACTGGTGTTGTACTGGTGTTGTACTGGTGTTGTACTGGTGCGATACTGGTGTGATACTGGTGCGATACTGGTGTGATACTGGTGCGATACTGGTGTGATACTGGTATACTGGTCCCATTGGTGTCACTGGTGTGATACTGGTACGATACTGGTATGATACTGGTGCCATTGGTGTCACTGGTGTTATACTGGTATCACTGGTATTATACTGGTATCACCGGTGCCACTGGTATTATACTGGTGCCATTGGTGTTATACTGGTGTCACTGGTGCCACTGGTATTATACTGGTGCCATCAGTGTCACCGGTGTCATTGGTGTTATACTGGTGTCACTGGTGCCACTGGTATTATACTGGTGCCATCGGTGTCACCGGTGTCATTGGTGTTATACTGGTGTCACTGGTGCCACTGGTATTATACTGGTGTCATTGGTGTCACTGGTGCCACTGGTGTTATACTGGTGCCACTGGTGTTATACTGGTGCCACTGGTGTTATACTGGTGCAATTGATGTCACTGGCGTTACTGGTCCCACTGGTGCCACTGGTATTATACTGGTGCCATTGGTGTCACTGGTGCCAATGGTGCCACTGGTGGTATACTGGTGCCATTGGTGTCACCGGTGTCATTGGTGTTATACTGGTGTCACTGGTGCCACTGGTATTATACTGCTGCCATTGGTGTCACTGGTGTCATTGGTGTTATACTGGTGCCATCGGTGTCACCGGTGTCATTGGTGTTATACTGGTGTCACTGGTGCCGCTGGTATTATACTGCTGCCATCGGTGTCACCGGTGTCATTGGTGTTATACTGGTGTCACTGGTGCCACTGGTATTATACTGGTGCCACTGGTATTATACTGGTGCCATTGGTGTCACTGGTGCCAATGGTGCCACTGGTGTTATACTGGTGCCATCGGTGTCACCGGTGTCATTGGTGTTATACTGGTGTCACTGGTGCCACTGGTATTGTACTGGTGCCACTGGTGTCATTGGTGTTATACTGGTGCCATTGATGTCAGTGGTGTTACTGGGTCTCACTGGTATTATACTGGTGCCACCGGTGTTATACTGGTGCCACCGCTGTTATACTGGTGCAATTGATGTCACTGGCGTTACTGGTCCCACTGGTGCCACTGGTATTACACTGGTGCCATTGGTGTCATTGGTGTTATACTGGTGCCATTGATGTCAGTGGTGTTACTGGGTCTCACTGGTATTATACTGGTGCCACTGGTGCCACCGGTGTCATTGGTGTTATACTGGTGCCATTGATGTCAGTGGTGTTACTGGGTCTCACTGGTATTATACTGGTGCCACCGGTGTTATACTGGTGCCACTGGTGTCACCGGTGTCATTGGTGTTATACTGGTGCCATTGATGTCAGTGGTGTTACTGGGTCTCACTGGTATTATACTGGTGCCACCGGTGTTATACTGGTGCCACTGGTGTCACTGGTGTTACTGGTCTCACTTGTGTCACTCGTATCGTACTGGTGCCACTGGTGCCACTGGTACTGTACTGGTGCCACTGGTGCCATTGGTACCAATGGGGCCCCTTAAACCCCCCCTTCCCCCTCCCCCCCTTTAATCCCCTCCCCCCAAACCCCACCCCCCCCTCCTCCCACGCCCCCCCCCTCCTCCTCCATAGCCCCTCCCCCCTCCTCCTCCTCCTCCTCCTCCCACGCCCCCTCCCCCTCTCCCCCCAAGCCCCTCCCCCCCTCCTGGCCCCTCCCTCCCTCCCCCCCCCCTCCCTCCCTTCCATGGCCCCTCCCCCCACCCCTTCTTGGCCCCTCCCCCTCCCGCGGCCCCTCCCCCCGCCCCCCCGCGCCGCCCGCGCCGGGGGAAGCAGCCGCTGGAACCACCATGTCCTATGTCCCCTTCCGAGGTACCGGTAACGGGGGGGGGGGGACCCCGATAACGGGGGAAGGGGGGGGGGGGGGGGGGGGTGAGGTCGGACCCTGCCCCACAACCGGAGCGGTGGGGGCGGGGGGATCCGCAGCGGGGGATGCTGGGACCCGGGATAACGGGAGACCGAGGGATGCTGGGACCCGGGATAACGGGATAACGGGGGATGCTGGGACCGGAGGATGCTGGTACCCAGCGATGCCAGGACCAAAAAGGGGAGGGGGGGGGGGTGGGTGAGATGGGGGGTGGGGGGTGAGGGGGGGGGTGGGGTACCACCACCACCGGGCCCGTGGGAGGATGATACCGGTGATACCGGTAACTGGGGGATGCTGGGAGGCGGTGGTACCGCAACGGGGGGATGCTGGCAGCGAGGGCGAGGGATGTGGGTACCGGGGGATGTTGGTACCCGATGGGGCCGGAGCCGGGGTGAACGGGCCCGTGGGAGGATGCTGGTACCCGGTGATACCGGTACAGACCGGGAACGGGGTTAGGGACCGGGGGGGGGATACTGGAGGATGCTGGTACCCAGTAGGGCCGGTACTGGGGGGGGGGGGCCGTGGGAGGATGCTGTTACCGGGGGGATGCTGGTACCCGGTTATACCGGTACCGGAGGATGCTGGTACCGGGGGTGGTCCGGTCCTTGGTGATGCCGGTACCGGGTTGATGCTGGTACCGGGGGAGCCGGTATGGGGGGGGTGGGGGGGGGGTGGTGAGGGGGGGGGAAGGGGGGGGGGGGCCGGGATCGTGGGAGGATGCTGGTACCCGGT